GTTAAAATCAAATCTGATATTGTTTTACCTTTTATTTGGTGTGTGGAAGGTGTGCGGAAGAGGGAGGTGTGCGATACAGCGAGTATATAACAAACTCTGTATTTTGAGTGGAAATGTTAGGGGGTCGTCTTATACGCCCAGTCGTCTTATACGCCGGCAAATACGGTAACTTTACACGGAGGCACCTCTTTCTCTGGATCTGGGGAGTAAGAAGGAGGAACAAGGAGGGGAAGGAGTGTCTATACTGCAGTGAAGGGAAGTTCTGAAAGCAGAGACTGGGAGGAGAGGCCTTGGAACCCCTAACTTTATCAAAGCAATCCTGAAGGCTCAGGCTTAGGGACCAAAGAGTGGAGGCTGCACTGAGGCCACAGCGAAAGTGAAGAGCCTGGATTTCTACCAAATTGGGGCTAAATTTACACTCTTCTGTTTCCTCTTCTTTAACATTCTGCTCATTGACTTCCTCCACCAACCCAGGAAATAGACTTGACCTCCTTATTTTCAAGTTGCTGGTGGCAGGAAGAACAGCAAAGCTTTGCCCAAGGAAGAGCTATTATAAAATAATTGTAATTAGTGTGATAATTGTAAATGGAGCAGCGAGAGAAGCTCCATTTCTTCTGCAGAATTCAGGACTCTATTTGCATTTGAAAAACAATCTCATTAGAGCAGTACATTAGACTATAAGGTATTTTCCAGGAAAATATTTTAGAAGAACTATGGCAATCTTGTGCTTGTGTGCATGCAGACACAGATGCACACTCTTAATTTTCCAATTAAGAATACATAGGTACTTTTTCAATTAAAAAGCACTCAGAAAGTGAAATAAACTGACCACTAAATTTAAAGAGGAAAAGACTTGTGGAAAGCTATATGGCAAGGTTAAGAGAATTGTGGAATTAAAACCTTGTAAAAATAATTGAGTTGAAAACTTTCTAAGGGAATTAGTCCATTTCATTGATTTAGGTAGTTATAAAAGTAATTACGTTTTTCAGGAATTTTAATTGGGTGGCTTCAATCAGATGCACATGGGGATTTCCTCCTGATGCTAGAGTTGCAATCAGCATGTTTAATTCATCGATGGGGTAGGTGAAATCCCCCAACCCAAAGGGCCACCATGCATCTGAAATCGCGCTCAAATGGCTTCCTATTTTTCATGTTCCTCTCCCAAGGCTTTTTACTCTTGGCTAAACCTCTTCACATATTAGGCTACTTATTTAGTTTCTTTCCTCCTTACCCTCCCCTCCTTTATACATATTTCATAGTTTTCTCTCTGGGTTCAACAATCACAGAAAATAAAACTGTTTAGGATTGAGAGAATTTTAATGACCATCCTGTGCTATTCTCTCATCTTATAGGTAAGAAATCCAGGACAACATTGGTTAATTTTCCCAGGATTATGCAGCTGCTTAAAGGCAGGAGTGGTGAAAAACCTAGAACCTGGGTCCCTTCCCACCAGCCTCCTACTTTGCTCTTCAATAACTTTCCCCGGGGCAGCTCTCTTTTTCCTCCTGGGGCCTCTGCCAGTTCACCTAGGCGCACCTTTTGACATGGAACTGAGTACGACACACACACATACGATATGTTTATACAAGGGCCACCAATGCCCTGGTTTGTTTCCTAAACACATTTTGTGGCCTTTTGACCTACTTTGCACATTGGGCATATGTCTTACTTTAAGTAGGCCGACCCAAATGCCTTCCCTCTATGAGAAGTCTTAAAATAGGAAAAGAGAAAATCCTCTATTTAAAAAAAAGAAAAGAAAAGAAAACAAATGCCAACAGCAAACTAGAAAAGTCATGATCCCATCACTTTTCCCACCACCGTAATCATATGCTATACTTCCTCCAGGCTGTTCTCCTAGGCATTCCTTTTAAATGTCATTGTTATCTGTCCTTAGCCTGACTTAGCTGAAACCAAGTGTTGGAATAAGTTAGTTATACAACTGTCTTGCTCTTCCTCAGAATTGGTGGAAGCACATCCAGAGAGCACCAATACCATCTAGAGCCTCACCCAGCACATGGTTTGGGGAGTGGAAAATTACTTTTGTCATTCTGTGGTTGGTGGGGGGGGGGGGGGGTTGTGGCATAGACCACTACTTAACTATTTAATATTTATATTCCCTTTTACTTTACTAAAAGAACTCCAATTTTACTTAAAGCAACTCAGTGTGAAGCTTAAAAACGATGTGTCTGCAGCCCCTCTTTTAATTAGGATTGATTATATGAAACAGATTTGGTGAAAAGTTGTAAGCAAAAATCACAGGATGGCATATTGCAAGGAATGCTCTTTGAAACATACTGGCTCACTCCATGTGTTTGCTCTCCCCACTTCCTCCTTGCTCCTACCTGTATGGTAGATGTGATGGCTGGAGCTGCAGAAACCACCCGTGACCAGGAGGTAATCTTGAAGATGGAAACTATAAATTAAGGAGGTTGGCAGCTGGAAGAATAAGGTGGGGACATCGATGATATTTTGATGCTACTATACCAGCTCTGGACTACCAACTTCCCAACTTTACGTTATTTGAGAGAAAGGTATGTGTTCATCTTGTTTAAGGCACACTTTTATTAGATTGTTTTTTTTTACTTGATGTTAAAAATTAATGATACAGGATCCCAATATCTATGAAATGCTTTCAGAGAACGCCCTCTTTGGATTCGCTAATGGTTCTCCTAAGTCTGGGTCTTTAGTTACTTGGGGTTTCCCAGGCCTCCCCATGCACCCCATGCCTTCCTCATTGGTGCCTTGACAAGGCCAGAACCTCACCCCTGGAATCCTTGGGTTTTAGTTTCTGGACTCCCAGGGCTGGGCCCTTTTCTGTTGTGCCCAGATTTCAAGATTCCCAAGGGCCCACCAGGGAGCCAGCGAGTCCGATGCAAAAGCAAAGAGTCCTTCATTTCAAGCTAGCTTGAGCTCCCCGTCCACCACACTCACCGACACAACGGCAAGCCAAGTGGCCGAGAGAGCAAAGCCTGATGGGACAAGGAGTTTTATAGGGGGGTGGAGTAAGGGCGGGAGAGGGGACTGTGGGCCCCGCCGATTGGCCAGGCGCGAGTCGGTGTCTCATTACACAGGATGTGGTCATAGTGATGGCGTGCACTTCCCTTGATTATCATTGGTTAGTCCAGAGAAATCCTGGGTGTGGCTAGCAGAGGCTTCTTCCGGGAAGATGCCTTGCCGAGCACATGGCTCTGCCCAAAAATGGAGAACCCAGGGTAAGATGGAGGGTGTAGTCCTCGCCCTTTCACTTTCCTCTTACCTTTGTTGTTTTTTCCAGTGGCATTCCCTGAAAGGGCCCAACTCTGCCTGGAACCTGCTGATCCTTCTAAACCCCACCCTCACTCCTCCTCAATTTAGTTTGTGCACCTGGCTAGGGGTCAGCCTGGCCAACTTTCTAATAACTGCTTAACAGAAGATTTACACGTAATATTTCTTTCTTGAAGATTTATGTGTAAGATTTCTTTGAGCCCTGGCCAGTTTTGCTCAGTGGATAGAGTGTCAGCCCTCAGACTGAAGGGTCTCGGGTTCGATTTTGGTCAAGGGCACATATCTCCACTGCAGACTCCATCCCTAGCTCTGGTCCAGGTATGTGTGGGAGGTAACTAACTGATGTCTTTCTCTCATACTGATGTGTTTTTCTCTCTGTGTTTCTCCCAGTCCCTTCCACTCTTTCTAAAAATGAATGGAAAAATATCCTTGGGTGAGGATTAACAACATCAACAAAATAAATAAATAGATAAATAAATAAATAATTTCTTTGAGCACATCCTCTAGAATGGGCTCAAATTTATCTTAAATTTCAAGATGTTTTTCCCCTTCCCAACAGACTTTATCAAACTGAGTAACTAGTTCACCATAGTGCCAGCACGGAGTAATCATGGCTGATTAGACCCAGCTGAAAAATCTATCCACAGGTAGCTAATGAAGAAGATTTTGGTTGTATGAATTTTCCCCCCAAAGGTTAGCCATAGAAATAGAGAGGCCCTTATCCCATTTTTTTTTAAAAGTGTTTTGATTGATTTCAGAGAGGAAGAGAGAAGGAGAAAGAGAAAGAAACGTCAATGATGAGAGAGAATATTTGATTGGCTGCCTCCTGCATGCCCCCCTGTCCTCCACTGGGGATTGAGCCTGAGCATGTACCCTGACTGGGAATTAAACCGTGACCTCATGGTTCATAGGTCAACGCTCACCCACTGAGCAACACCAGCTGGGCACCCTTATTCTTGTTTTATTATTTTTACCCACTAATCTTTCTTGTTGAGTTATGATTCTGGCAACCACACAGGACTGCAATCTTGAGAGTCCAGATTTACTTACTGGATAATGATAACTTTTAAACCAATCTAAAATATCCAACTAGTGAATATAAATTTTAAAGAAAGGTAAATTATTAAATAACAGCATTGATGCCTGGGTTTTAGTGGTAAGTAACATTCTTCCCTAGGCTATCTCTGAGCAACACTAGCTTGTGATTATAAATGAGCCTGGTCAAGTATTTTCTCCTTGGATCCTGGTGCTATCCTTAACCCAAGCCCCTGAGGAAATGCTCTTCCTGGTCCACGTTCCTTACTACTAAAGCTTTCCAGGACAGTTGACCTATGTGATTTAAGTTGGCTCATGTGTGCTCCCACTTCCATAAGAGCCCACGTTGAGATAGGAAGCCATGGGAGAGAACCCTTGGCTGCACCTGAAAAGAATGAGTCAGAGAAGAACGACTTGGAGGGGACAGAGGGCTAGATGAACGTCTCTGCACGAGTGCCCCAGGCTCAGCCCTCAGAGATTCTTCAATACTGTCAACAAATTGGGAGCTGGTATAAGACATCACTGGGACAGTTCTAATTCTCAAATGTGGGCCCTGAATGGCTTCCTTCTCTGCCTTTAACAGGGACTGCTCAAAAAATCTAACCCAGAGATTACATCATTTCTCCCTTGGGATTCTCATTTGCCTTTCTGTATCACGCAGAGCAATTATGCACACGCATACACCCCAATGTTTACCTCCATATTTTATCCCCACCACCTGTCATGACTCGGCAAACAGAGGACATTCTGGCTACCAGGACTCCCTCTCAGAATTATAAACAACAGCAAGGCATTACTTTTCTCTTACACAAAGGTAAAAGACAAAAGGAAACCAGTTCAAAAGCAGTTCAGGTGGTGGAACTATTGGTGTTTCCTTATTGCTGCTCTCAGGCTTCCCATATTTTCTTTGATTATAATACATGGTAACAGATGGTAATATCCCTGAGCACTGATTCCGGGCCAGGCACCCTGCTTAAGCACATTCCATGTTTTATCTCACTTAATCCTCTTTACAGATCTATTGATTCACATATAAGGAAACTAAGGAAATTAAGTGACTTATCATTGAGTAACCTGCATCTGAGTCCAGGTTTATCCGACATTAAAGTCAGGATTCTTAGCTACACCATTATTCTTATAATGGAAAAAGTACATGCGTTTAAAAAAGGTGATAGATGTTGAGACTAGAAACTTCAGTCATGGATTTATCTTAAGGATTTGTACTGTTCTGAATATGAGAGGGTATGTGGTATGGTGGTATATATAGCATGGTGGTTAAGAGCCTGGATTCTGGAGTGAGAGCTCATGAGCTCAACTCCCCAGCCTCTCGTCTTGCTAACTCTGTGACCCAGGGCAAGTTACATAACTTCTCTATGCCATATTTTCTCAGATTATAAAATGGAGATAACATCTACCACAGGGTTATTGTGAAGATTAAATAAATTATATTATGGAAATGCTTAAAGAGTGTCTGGTTTATAGGAAGCACTATGAAAGTATTTGTTGTCTTGTTTTTTGTTATTTTATTCTAAGAGATTTTGAAGCCCGTCTTGTATTCTCCAAAAAAAAAAAACAACAAAAAACCAACAATTTGAGCTATAAATCGGCGCAGCTCCTGCATCAAGGATTTTAAGAATGAGGCTACCTGTCTTTCTCAATGGAATAAGCTGTAAGGTAAGGGGTGATGAATGCATGGTGATCAGTCTCTTTCAGGGCTGCATGGCTGTGCCTTGCAGGGAGAAGTTTTAACTGTGCAAGCAAACCTTAGAGCAAAAGTGTTCTGTTCATCTTTCCCCCCCTTTGTGTAATAAATATAATTATTATTAAAATCATTATGTTATCAAAGTTCCAGTCATCACTTTTAAGAGCAGGGAAGAAAAATGTCTAGAAATTACCAAATAAAACTATTTCTGCAGCAATTATTTCTGCTGCAAAAATAAAAGTACAATATATGGAAGAAGAATATTTCTGCAGCAGAAACAATAATTGCTTAATATTATGTTCAAAAAGCAAAGTGAGACTTTCTGATAATAAGCAAATGGATGAGTACAAGAGCTTGAGTTTCATTGTGGGAAGACTTTCTAAGGGGCTCAGGTTTTCCCAAGTGATGGTCCCTGCTCAGAAGCTAGAGAACATGATTTTCCAGCTGATGTCAATCGCTCCCAAGTCAAGGCCCAAGGGAGGTGGGGTGGGGGGAAGAACTATCAGGTGAAATCAGCTAAATGAATCCAATTGGGGAAAAACAGACAATGGTGGCTCCTTTGGTCTGCAGTGGTCGGCAAACTGCGGCGCGCGAGCCGCATGCGGCTCTTGGCCCCTTGAGGGTGGCTCTTCCACAAAATACCATGTGCGGGTGCGCATGTACAGTGCAATTGAAACTTCGTGGCCCATGTGCAGAAGTCGGTATTTTGTGGAAGAGCCACACTCACGGGGCCAAAGAGCCGCATGTGACTCGCGAGCCGCAGTTTGCCAACCACTGGTAGGGGAGTATAAATAAAACAAGTAATGCTCTCCCACTTCTCACCTCTGCCCACTGTCAAGTTCTTCTCCAAGCCATAGTACTTTAGGCTCTGGGAGCTCCCCCTCTCTAGGACAATGGCTCAGCTGTTGAACAGCTCTTACACTGAACTGACACCTGCCTTCGTAACTTGTACTCTTGAGCTAGCGCTGCATCTTGGCAGGGAAAGACAAACTTATTCTGTCTGTGACACTTGAGCCTTTAAAATATTTACAGTGACATGGTGTTCCTTTGGTTGACTATGTTTTCTTCTCCAGGCTAAATGCTATTATATTAATTATCTCTGATTTCCTGACTCTCACCATCCTATTTGCTTTGCTCTAGTTGGTCAATATCCCCCAAGAATTGTGGTACCTACCACGGAACCCAGTACTTCAGTGTGGTCTAGCCACAGCCCACGGAGGACCAGGGCTGCCTATGATCTCCACCTCACTTCCCTGCTTGCAGTCAAAGATTGGGTGGGTTTTTTTTCAACAGACACATCATAGTGTTGGAAAATATTCAACCTGTAATTAATTAAGGTCCCCAGTTCTTCCATATGAACAAACATTGTCCAGGTAACTCATCCATCCTGAACAGCTGGTTTTCTTTTTTTACCCTAAATTTAGAATTCTGCAATTATCTCTGATACATTTCATTTTATTGAGTTAGACAAGACACTCCAGAGTGTCTAGACAATTTTGAATTTTGTTTTAGTTCTGTAGCTATATTTTCCAGCTTTGTGTCATTGTAGGTTTAGTAAAAATGCCATTTAATTCGTTGCTGCATTGCCAAAATGAAGCAAACTTTTCTGACATTATTGAAAGTGTAGGCTTGGATACACAATGCAGAATGACTTCTAAATTAGTTTGAGCAATTTATAGACAGCTTTTTGAAATTCTCTCCAACGCACCTGAAGAAGACATAAGGCACACAAAGAAGCAAAAGAGGCCTCTTTAATGTGGGAAGTGAGCAGGGGGAGAAAAAAAACAACACAGAAGAAAATGGAGGTCCTACCTGCACCTTCCTCCCTAGTCTCCTGTCCCTGGTCCCAGGATTGGACCCTCTTGTACTCTGATCCAGATATCACCCCTTGGGGCTGGATGAGGCTGATGATATGTTTGTAACGCCTCCTAGACCAGCGGTTCTCAACCTGTGGGTCGCGACCCTTTGGGGGTCAAACGACCCTTTCACAGGGGTCGCCTAAATAGATCCTGCATATCAGATATTTACATTACGATTCATAACAGTAGAAAAATTACAGTTATAAAGTAGCAATGGAAATAATTTTATGGTTGGGGGTCACCACAACATGAGGAACTGTATTAAAGGGTCGAGGCATTAGGAAGGTTGAGAACCACTGTCCTAGACCATGGCTCAGCCTGGGTATCCAACTTTCCTGTCCAGGAAGATCCCAGGCCACAGATTACATTAAGGCATCATTTTAACAGGATGGACATCAAATGCAGCAGCTCCAGGCTATACAAGACACAGCCCTTCAATAGTTCTTCAGCTTCCTCTTCCTCCCTCTTCCTTCACTTTCATGGGATCAGTATCAGACAGAGAAGGAGTTTTTCCCTCGTTGGTTTATTTCTTCCTATTTAGACCTAGTTAGAGAAATTGGGGCCTCACTTTTATGGGCTTAATGTTTGGAAAACAAAGCTTACTAATAAAACTAAGGAAAAGAAACCATTTTATGGCCAGGGCCTGCTGACCAGTATGTTTTCTCGGATACAGCTGAAATGAAAAAATACCCTCTGAAACTGAACATTTTCGGTCTGACTTTTACAGCTGCCTTCCCATCATAATCATAGTCTCCAGGAAATTCTCTTTCATGAGCTCATATGGGCTCCTTTTTCCTCATATTCCAAGGTCAGGCCATAGCAAATGGAACTTTAAAAATGTCCTACACAGTCATCAGAGTGGGAGGCATAAAGCAAGAGAGTAAAAGACCATATTTAGCTGCTGGCCCTAGAATCAGGCCTGGATTTCAGTAGTGGATTCTCTATGTAACAGCCATGTGATCCTGGGCCAATTACTTTATATTTCTTTGTTCCTCAGAGACGGATAAATAAAAATTGAGTTGATGTAGTAACAATGAATCAAAAGTTTGTAAGCTAGTTAGTACAGTGCTGGCATCTATAAAGTACTCCATAAATACTAGTTATTTTAAACTAGTCTTCTAAGATACACATAGATATGTATGTGTATGTGTGTATATATATATATTTGTGTGTGTGCATGTTTACATTCAGCTTCGTTTTTCTAGTATTCATTTTATGCTTTGATCTAATACAATTAAGAAACATGGCAACAGTTGTCTCCAGATTTTCAAAGCCTGAGCATGTCAGTAATCTAGAAATCTAGATTCTTTTTACACTTGAAGAAATTGAGGCCCAGGAGGAAAAGGGAGCTTTCCAAGACACACAGCGAGTGAATGGCAGAACTAGGACTCTAAACCAGGTAGCCAGACTCCCAATTGTGTCCACAATTAATGCCCTCTTTTTCCCCAAAAAAGGAATCAGAATTAGCTTCCACTTCCAGCCCGGCCAGTGTGGCTCAGTGGTTGAGCATTGACTCATGAACCAGGAGGTCACGGGTTCCATTCTCTGTCAGGGCACATGCCTGGGTTTTGGGCTCCATCCCCAGTAGTGGGCATGCAAGAGGCAGCCGATTGATGATTCTCTCTCATCATTGATGTTTCTATCTCTCCCTCACCTTTCCTCTCTCTGAAATCAATAACACACACACACACACACACACACACACAATTTCCCACTTCTAAAGCCCCTGTTTACTAAGCAGCAAGGGATCATGGAAAAAAAATCAACATAAAACTTGGAACTGAATGGGCTTAGATTCAAATCCCAATTCTACCACTTACTGCTTGCAAGTAACTTTAGCAAATTGACCTCTTTGAGCCTCAATTTCTTTATCTGGCAAATGGAGTTATTTGCCCCTTATTAGTAGTTTTTATGATGCATAAGACATACCAACTATGAAAGCAGAGTGCCTAGTAAATTGGGATGCCAATCCCATATTGGCTCCCTCCTTAGAGGATTCTTACTTGGTTCCACTGATTTGGGTGCTCTGCTGGAAGCAAGCCACTGCCAGGTACTAGTGAGATGGGAACATGTTTGAGGGGGAAAGCAGCCGTTTTCCTTGCCGTGAGTGAAACGGGGACACGTAGTTTCCCTCAAGGCCACTGGTGAGCATAAGGTTGTTTCCTAGAGGACATCAGCTCAGGAAGTATGCCAAGACCCAGGGTTACTTACCACAGGGAAATTGTCTCTAGATTGTTCAATGTCAGGCCTTGGCTGTATTGGCTGGCCTTGAGGCACCAGGATTATGTGTCCTAATCCTCAAAGTCTATTAGCATCTAAAAGCAGCTTTTGCTTTTGGCACTGGGAGTGTTGATTGCCACAACCTTCTGTAGTTAAGCTTCCTTATGCATTAGGTATTTATAAATATTTATGGAAGGATAGAAGGAAGGGAGGGAGCGAGAGAGGAAGGGAAGGAAGAAGAGAGGGACAAGAATTGGTTCAATGATGCAACAGTGATAGGCCCTTAAGAACTAAGAAGTAATGTTTTATTCTGAAAGTTAATCTATACAATCAATCCATAATGGATCAGATCAGAGTATGTAACGTCATCTTAAAGCAACAGTACAATTCTTAGCCAAATAAAACTTTTTTTTTTAAATATATATTATTGATTTTTTACAGAGAGGAAGGGAGAGAGACAGAGAGTTAGAAACATCGATGAGAGAGAAACATTGGTCAGCTGCCTCCTGCACATCTCCTACTGGGGATGTGCCCGCAACCAAGGTACATGCCCTTGACCGGAATCGAACCTGGGACCTTTCAGGCCGCAGGCCGACGCTCTATCCACTGAGCCAAACCGGTTTCGGCAAATAAAACTTTTATATCAGTTCCCCAACCTAGCTAATGATCAGAGTCACTTGTGCTCCCTGTAAACATTCAGACTCCTAAAACCCCCAAAAGATTCCCATTTCTTTGTAAACCCTCCAGGTACTTTTGTGGCAATCAGCCCCACCCTGGCCAGCAGACTGGCTTTGGGAACCACAGTTAGACTGCAAGAGGTCTGGAAGGATTTACACATAAAAAGCAAATGTGTAGGTCAGAAAAGGGTTGGCCAGCCAAGGGAATGTGGGCAAAAGGGCACATCTGGTACACTCTGGCTCATGCAAACAGGATTCTGGAATTGGGTTCCCTGCCAGAAACATCTAGACCATCTGGAGAGCAGATTCCTGTTGAGAAGATAGAGCTGGTGAGCAGAGCCTGATGTTAAGCATCTGAATGGTCTAACTCCCCTTGTCAAAGTCCCCTGCTCACTGAGCAACCTTCTGATAATCTCTCTCCCCCCACAACTGGTATAAATGGAGAAAGGGGGCAGAACAGGTCAAATGTTTCCCACGGTAAATTAATCAGCTGGCATTCTGGTTATATATCAGTCTCTTGTGAGTGATATGAGTCAGCATCCCTGAGTCTGATCAACTCAGAGCCTCTGCCAAGATCGAGTTTCTGAGGCTACACAGCTGAGAGGCTGACCCCGGACCCAGTCGTGGCAGCAGAGTAAGTGTCCCGTTCAGGCCCAGGAAGCCAGCCAGCTAGCTTCTCCTGGGGAAGGGAGGAACACATGTCCCCGGGGACACACTGTGGAAGACTTTTCTTTTCTTTCTTTTTTAAAATATATTTTATTGATTTTTTACAGAGAGGAAGGAAGAGGGATAGAGAGTTAGAAACATTGATGAGAGAGAAACATCGATCAGCTGCCTCCTGCACGCCCCCCACTGGGGATGTGCCTGCAACCAAGGTACATGCCCTTGACTGGAATCGAACCTGGGACCCTTCAGTCCACAGGCCGATGCTCTATCCACTGAGCCAAACCAGTCAGGGCCAAGACTTTTCTTGATAATATTACATGTGCTTTACTGGGAACATGCACTTAGAGCAGCGGTTCTCAACCTGTGGGTCACGACCCCTTTGGCGGTGGAATGACCTTTTCACAGGGGTCACCTAAGACCATCGGAAAACACATACATAATTACATATTGTTTTTGTGCTTAATCACTATGCTTTATGTTCAATTTGTAACAATGAAATGGGGGGTCACCACAACATGAGGAACTGTATTAAAGGGTCGCGGCATTAGGGAGGTTTGAGAACCACTGACTTAGAGGAAGGGGTTAGGGACTTAGAAGAATGGTCATTTAAAATACTTCCTCTGTTCTCAAAGGGCCTTCATATGTATTAGCTCATCTGACACTTGCACCACCCTGGGAGGTAAGCCAGACACATATCACTATTATTCTTATTTCAGAGATGAGGAATCTGAGTTTACCTCATATTCAAAGTGAATGGCACAGCTAGAACCAGAATCCAGATTTTTTTATTCTTATACTCTACTCAGTTCCCCTCTCATTTAATAAAGAAACTACCCTAAATAAAACCTTAAAGGAGCAATCGAAACACCTGAATGGGATAGGGTGGGACTGTGTTTGTATGTGTATGGTGAGCTGGGTTAAGGGTACATACCGAGTTGACAGAGGAGAGGAAAAATCATACCAGTGGTGGTGATAAGAACGCACATCAAACACTTTTTTCTTAACCAAGAGAACTGAGACATGATTCAATTTAACAGATTATTTATTGAGCACTATTGTGTGCAAGGCCTTGTGTGCTAAGTGCTCCCGAGAGGTGTAGAGCATAGGAAAGAACAATTACCAACATGTACTTTAGTGTGGTGAAGAGTGACTCCACCCCCAAATATTTTTTCTTCTTTAATGGCAGCATCAAAGAATGCAGTCCACACCCAGGGTATTTAAAGAGAGGCGGGGAAAAGAAGACCGGTAGTTGAGAAGTTGACTGTGATTATGACTCTGGCAGCCAAAACAATCTGGAAATGAAGGCTTGATAACATCTCATGAAGGATGATGGATGTTCATGCAAAATTCTTGGGGAAGTAAAAAAAGAAAAAAAAGGATGCAGCTTCTTCAACATTTTTCCGTGTATTTTATCTTAGGGCTTTTAGGTCCTTGGTGACTTCACCAGCAACAGTTCCCCAAATAAATCCTGCTTTATAAAAAAATTGTTTTCATGCAATTATAAAAAATGCTTTTTAT